ATTGGTTTAAGAAAAATGTATTTAAAAAAAATTGAAAGAATAAAATCAGTGATATACATAAACATGAGGGTAATTAACTTACCGAAAGCCCCAACTGCTCCGGCAATGATGACGATGACGCGGATTCGTGTAATGCCTCCAATGCATGCATTCCGTCGATATATGACCACCATGTCCGCGTATTCTGCATGTAAATACAGTGGTTTTTGTTTGATATTTTCACATTCAACTTATTGTTGTATTTTGTCAATCGGACGCTAGATTATTACTAATCATTACGTACAATTGACTTGTTTACATATCAGTTGTTGCGAAGGTAACGAATAGGTATCTGTGTTTCTTCAGTTGCGCGAACGAAAGGCGATAAAATAACACGGCTACAAAGCTGTTAACTGTTTTTATGTTTTGGAATACTTATCAGACATAGTGTATAAAGAGTAAATTGCAAAAGTCGTAATGGCACGTAAAAAACAAAATTATTGTTATTATTAAAATAGATATATATTATGGTACGGTTGACAACGCTAATCTGATAGAAGGCATAACAATTACCATTCGTTCTCCCTTGTGATACGCCCATGACCGAATAAAATTCATGATAACTCCTTTATTTATTAGATTAAATCCTAGAACGAAATGGGAATGTAGGAATCCGTTATTTAAATGAACATTGTAACTAAAGTTTAATTAGCTAAAAGGAAGAGAATTAAGATAGAGTACACACGACCCATGTAATATCATTCATGTAAAAAAGCGATTAATTAGCAGAGGTCTTAATTTGTATCCACGTTCGTTTTAAAATAGACCGATGTTGAAGTATTGATACAAGATGTTAAAATCTCTCCTTGATCTCAACTAATGTCTAGTCATTTGTAACTGCTCCCTGGTCTGGATCTTCATCAATGTTAACACATTCGAATAAATTATTCAGTTTGAGGAAGTAGCGGATGCTATATTTGATGTCAAAAGATCCTTTCGACGCTTCCACTACAGATGTATAACTAACTGCGTGCTATTAATTCGTTTTACCTCGTTAACTTCTTACCGTTTGACAAATGCGTGAAATCGTGTTTTTAACCTAATGTACCTAACGCATGGTTTTATTTTCTAGGCGCCAACGTTTTAACAAATTTATATATTAAAACTAGCCTATATTCACCTACATAAATGCTACAACGGAATTAATAATTAACATAAACTATGTCCACTCACATGCTTTTTAATATTTAAGTTTAAAAAACTGATTACTTACTGAAATATTAATTCAAAATTCAGGAATACAAAAGAGAGGCTAATATCCTACGACAAAGGACGAGTGTTGTGACCTTGTAAATCTGTCATTACACAGTCACAACTTTTTGAAAAAGTAAAAAAAATTCATATTCGATACATAGGTATACATATATCTGAGTATCTTTTCAGTCAATAATAAATTTGTGGAAATTTAATTTTTTAATTTAGTATGTTCATCAATAGTAGTGGATTCAATTCAAAAATATGAAATTGTAGTATAATAAGCCTTTACAAGTGATAATTAGCAAAAATTAAATTAGCACAACTCCGTTTGAATCAATAATTTAATTTTTTCTCCGCGCTTTTCTTCGTGTTGTATTCCTCATAGTGCGTGTTGACCTGAAATCGTGTCCATACCTCTGCAAAAGTAGTATTGAAACGTGAAAGAAATTGAAAGGGGAAAATTGTGATGTTTAAAGTATTATTGAAAAGTAAAATTTCAATCACGTCTAATACGACTTAATATAGCATGACAAATGCTGCAGAAATAGAAAACAAATACTTTATATTCCGCTTTATCTCAATTTCAACAAGATTAGGAGTTGTGGGCAGAAGACGAAAATACGCTGGAGATAAAAGGTTAGAAATGAGAAGATATGTGGAAGAGTAGAAGAACTGAGGGTGTAATGAAAGTCAATAAGAAAAATGAGAGCTAAGATGGTATGATACGCACTTAAACTTTCCACTTCCTCCTCTCAAAAGCGACAGGAAGAACTGGCGGTTATTCCTAGTTTGTTTTTGTGGTAGTGCAGTTTTCCATAGCCTGTAACGATTTCCACTAGAGTCTTAGTTTTTCTCCGGTTGAGACAGAGAATTTTTTTTTCCCCACTCCCATCCAGTTTGTAGAGGAGATAAATGCCTTTGCTTGCCTACATCTTTGTTGTGTTTCTCAATCCCTGTAGGGTTCTGAAGAGGACCATCTTGCAATTTCTTGCTTGGCCAGGCTGATACCTACATTTGATTTGGCCACCTGCTTTAGCAAGGTGGTCTGCTAGCTTCTTTCCATTTATGCTACTATGGTTCAGGACCCAGAGCAAGACCACCTTTTTTTGAGTCGATAGTCCGCTGAGAGCTAGGGGGCAAACCTCTAATATTTTCAACTTTGTTGAGGTCCTCTAGAGCACTTTTACAGTTAATGCGTATGCCTATGGGCCCGGTATATTTCCCAAGTACAACAAGCAATAGTCATCACTTTAAGGTTGAAAAGGAGTCGAAAATTAGACCAATGGTAAGGAAAGCTTGCTCCCCCTTTGGCATTTTTAAATGCCTATTACACTCTTCTAGACTGGATTACTACCCGAAAATAGAATGTGAGATCTTTTAGGGAAATGCAAAGATTGAAATTAAATAAGATACGTAAAATCCTCCCTACCAAGGAGAAATCAGGGAATGTAATGCTTTCCGCTTTTGAATAATAGTATGGGAAACTCCTAATGTCGTTTACACGTAGATTTTTAGAAATTCATTTTACGAACTTAACAATTTATTTGCGATTTAAAGTAAAAATGCCGTGCAAAATTATCTTTAATTCAATGGATTAAAGAAATTATACGTTTAATAACTTTTATACTTAACTAGCGACCCGCCCCAGCTTCGCAAGGGTGCAATGCTAATACTTAATCTACTAGTGAATGTCTTTATATTTTTACAGTTCACTTTTTTGTCATTAGATAATATAAAACGGCCCCCCCGGCCGGTACCGCCGCAACCGCATGCCCCTGCATTTTAAGTCTGTAATATCTTCGAAAATATTCATTTAAATTACATGCTGTAAAGAGCCATATTGATCTATATTAAATGCACAATGTATTTAAACGTACTTAATTGGATAAGGATTAATGCTGTATTGCTTGACATCACTTCGTAAATAAGCCATTATTTCTCATAAAAAGTAAAGGATAAAAAATGTTTTTTGTGGATTATCTCTAAGAGATAGACATATACCATCGCGGACTTTTTGTAGACCTTTTTAAGATGTACAATACTGTGGCACATTATTTTGATCTATCTCGTAGGGTTCAGCCAGCGTTTGCAATGTAAGCGCAAAAAAATGTGTGTATTTACGACATCACATTAGAAACCTCTAAAATTATCAGTGTTTCTCTACTATTTTATGCATGTATTATACATATAAACCTTCCTCTTGAATCACTCTATCGATTAAAAGAAACGGCATTAAAATCCGTTGCGTAGTTTTGAAGATCTAAGCATACATAGGGACAGACAACGGGAAAGCGACTTTGTTTTATACTATATAGTGATAGTGATAGTGAATAGTGATGATGTACGAGGGTGGATTGATAAGTTTCCGGCCTAACCAAGAGATGACGCCACTAGGCCTACCTTGAGGTGACATTCTATAGTACCATCCTTGGATAGCTTGTAGCTATAGTTTCAGCCCGATCTCCTTGCTAGTGTAGGTTTGACAGCACGCTGAACAAGACGCCTCTGTGGTTTTCGTAAAAATGGAAAAGCAGGAAAATCGTGCTGTCATCAAATACTTTTATTTGAAGGGGTTAACGCCGAAGGAAATTAAAAAAGAGATGGACTCAACACTGGGGACATCCTCCCCGTCATATTCAACCGTTAAGCAGTGGGTTTCCGAGTTTAAAAAGGGTCGTGTGAGCACCTCTGATGGGCCTCGCTCAGGACGCCCCGTTGAGGTCACAACTCCAGATATGATCGAAAAAATTCATCAAATAGTGCTGGGAGACCGCAGATTGAAAGTGCGTGAGATAGCTGAGACCTGTAAGATGTCATATGAACGTGTGCAACATATTTTGCACCAACATTTGCATATGGAAAAGCTCTGTGCAAGATGGGTGCCGCGTTTGCTAACAGTCGACCAAAAATTGATTCGAAAAAACATTTCTACCGCAAATTTGTCATTGTATAAGCGTAATCCAAGCGAATTTTTGCGTCGATTCGTAACCGTTGACGAAACGTGGGTCCACCACTACACTCCTGAAACCAAAGAACAGTCTAAACAGTGGATTGGACCAGGGGAACCAACTCCAAAGAAGGCAAAAACAATTTTTTCGGCGAACAAGGTTATGGCTACTGTTTTTTGGGATGCAAGAGGTATTATATACATTGATTACCTTGCAAAGGGTAATACTATCACTGGTCAATACTACGCAGACTTATTGCAACGTTTGAGCCACGAGGTGAAAATTAAACGACCTCATCTGGCGAAGAAAAAAATCTTGTTTCATCACGATAACGCACCAGCGCACACGTCAATCGTTGCGACGGCTAAAATCAACGATCTAAAGTTTGAATTGATGCCGCACCCTCCTTACTCTCCAGACCTAGCCCCGAGTGACTATTTTCTGTTCCCTAATCTCAAAAAATGGCTTGGCGGTAAGAGATTTGCGGACAATGAAGAAGTAATCGAAGCTGTAAATGGTTATTTTGAGGAGCTTGACGAATCAGTCTATAGAGATGGCATTAATAGACTGGAACACCGCTATGAGAAATGTATCAGCCTTGGAGGAGATTATGTTGAGAAATAAAAAAAAAAAATTTTTAAAAACCTTGTTTTTCTTGGTCAGGCCGGAAACTTATCAATCCACCCTCGTATTTAATAGGCTACGGAATCCCTACACGCGAATTAAACTCTTACATGATGTTTTAATCTAATATTATTATTGAATAAAAATGGTTGTGTTTAATTTTCTTATCAGGTTTTTCTCTTTTGTCGGCAGGTACTCGTTTTGGCCGCTGTGTCGACTTTGGCGTACTCCTTTGAATCTTTGAACCAAACCCTACTGGCACGCACGAAAAGAAGTTCTCATCTCGCCCCCCAGTGGATTGAAGAATATCTCTATACCCACAACCAGTCCCTAAAGGATCCCGGAAAATATTTAAGCCCCCGTGATAACCAAGTGCTTCTAAGGTATGTTATTGTTCTCTTAATTACTTAACATTTAGCAATTTTATTTTTACGATTCATACCTCTCTTTTGGAATTTGGGTTTATGTGGACTCATAATTAGTTCGAAGAAAGTTTTAGAGTAATGGAGAAATCAATTGATTATTTATCTTGAATATAATTTTTTTGTAATGGAAATACTTAATTTTGACTTCAGTAATGAAACAAGCAAGAAATGTGATAATCGAAAGTACTACTCTTAATTTTTCATATGACGAATGATGATGCAATAATTTTTGTCTACTTCACCCCTATCCACCACCCATTGTGGTCTCCCGTCTGCAATTCGATTGAGTATTCTGAGGACTACATTTCTGTAAAATTTGAAGTACTATCTCGATGGCTTAATTTAAAAAATGAATAGGATACTTTCATCCTGCTCAGAAACGTACCCCTTCCATTTTATCTGAACATGTTACCGTAAAATTTATCTACATATATTACGGAAGACTGAAATTCCCAGTACTTATAAAGTTTTTTAAAGCTATAAAACTGATTCTTACGATCTGTTTAGACGTCGGCAGGCTACCTCCCGTCAGTTGTATGTTGTATTCACTTACATACACCAGATGACCGTTAGTCTTTTGGCAAATTTTGGAAGATGTTTAAAAATTATTCGCTTTCTAATTTAGGCATTTATTAACTCTTTTACTTAAAGAGGGAGATAAAGAAATGGAGAAGAAAAGTAGGGAAATCAAAAAAGGGAAACTGTTATATAGAAACTACTTAACTATAATTAATAAATCATTTAAAAATATAATAATAATATTAGCCTGCCTTATTATGCTATAATTGGGGAACGTGGAAAATGGCAGGGAACCATCACAGGGCGAGTGAAAACGGCAAGCCGCCACATCGCGTTGCATTATTTGCTTCTTCTTGATCTTAAATTCGACTCTCTCCAGATTGTTACTGATTTAACTATTTAAACGGCCAGTAAATGATCTAATAACCCAATAAGTTTTAAATAAATAATTTAAAGATCTAAATAAATAATTAAATGTACCAAGTTTGTACTACTACTAAATAAGATTTAATGGATTCCATGTACAATACAAAGTTCATTGGACACAAAAAACGAAGGGGAATTTTTCACGTTGCATAAGGAATTGTTAGATGATGAAGTAAAATTTCATCAGTGAATACGCACTACTTATTACATGAATAATATTTTGACGGGCGGCTGCCTGGCATCGACTAGATAAAAATGAGAATCAAACTTGAGTTCACTTAGATTTTGCTAGGAGGGTTAATCCTTTTCATTTCAGGCACGAAACAAAGAATCGTTCTGGCGTGGATTGTTGTCCTTCGGTCCAGGAAATGGTGGAACCGGAGGGCGGTATGAACCAGGACGACCAGTATGTGGAGCTGTATCGTGACGGTAACAATCGTCAACGTTTCTACGAATTGTCCTGTCACAAGGACATCGAGGGGAAGCCCTGCCGTTTTATGGACCGCAGACTTCACAACCAATCGCGATGCGTACAGAAGTACAGTTACACGTACGCTCTTGTCAAGGATCCGGGAGGCGGAAACAGAGGCCAACATTCCCATCAACGCCCTAGTCCTTTTCCCTCGTTTCCTTCAGCGGAACCCGGCGGGCCCACGTGGACTCTCGATTATATCCGCGTTCGTAGCGGTTGTAGTTGCATAGTGACGCCGAATTTGAAGAGGAAAAAGAATCAAAAATCGAGGAAAAGAAATAAGCACGAACCCAGTGGTGACTAACGGGATGGTGTAACGCTTAATGTAAACGACGATTTGGGAACCATTTCGATACAGCAAACTCAAAAGTAAAGTAGCACAATTTTATCTTTTTCATTTAATTACAAATATTCCTTTTTCTTCTTGACTCGAATATTTTAATAATGTTTTTAAAATGGCGGTTTTTAATCATTTTTGTTTACCACCAAACTTTTTTTTGCAAAATTCTATTTCATTTTTCCATTTAAATTCTATTAAATCTTCTTTTTGGTGCAAAATGAAAATAACTGGAAAAGATACGGAATTGAAGAAGTAGTACTGACTTCTATTTTTCTACATTCTCCTCCCTTCTAAGGGAGCCATTTACAATAAATTACATATATATATATAATAATACAGATTTGCAAGATTAATGAGCATCTAGTAAGAAACGTGGTCAATAAATATTCTTTTTATACTCAATTTTCATTTTTTTCTTAGCTTCAAGTATATAATACGATGCAGGTGGAGCAAATATACGTAAGGATGGCACAAAAATACTAAATATCGAAACTCTAACATGAAAATCTATACATTTTTTTTTTTTATTTAAGAACGCTGTCAGAAACTCGGTAAGATTGAACAGTTGATTGGTAATGAATTTTAAAATCTGGAAAAACAGTTTAAAATCGATGTTTTTTTAATTTTTTATCGTTAAAATAATCAGCCCCGCAAATGTTCAATATTATATGGATTGGAAATGAAAAAAACAATATGACGTAATATTAGTATTTGAAGATTGATCCGAGACATTAAAAATTAAAAACTAAAAATTTACAGGAAGTTTCAGGAAAATTCATGATTTTAAAAGGCTAATTAATTTTTTATGCGTAAAAATGTTTTTATGAAATAAAAATACCTGATGTTTGTTTTTTCAATTTTTAAAATTCATAAGCGACCTGTAAACATTTAAACGTGCTGTTTTTTTTTTTAATAAACTAATACATTTTCATGTGAAAACATTAAATAAATTGCCGAATTCTTTGCGCCATCCTGGTATACATACTTGAAGGATCACATTTAAAAATTAGCAAATAAAAATGAAAATTGTTAAGTAAATACAGGTTTTTTTGAAAACAAAAATGATGATTTTGAAAACGTATTTTTTCGATTCTAAATGATAATAGATCTGCAAAAGAAAGGAAATACTTAGATAATCCCTTTTATTTGTGAGAACCTTATACAAAACGTTTTAAATTAATTTTAATTTGGATGACTAAAGTTAAAAGAAAAAAGGAATAAAAGTTTGCCTGTTTTGTAATGCGTAAACCCATTTCGTCTTCCGCGGAAAAAAATGTATATTGTGATGATACCAAAGGAGTTCGTTTTTTAATGACTATTTTGTTGCCATATTTTTTTATTCAAAACTTTTATTTATTTATTCCAATGACTGTGCGCGAGTGGTGTGAAATTCTACTATTGTGACTACTTAGCGTATTAAAAAGAAAACAAATGTACTTATTATGTTGTATGTCCCTCCAAAGTACACTCCGTAAATAAACTCAAAAAAATGAATAGGGCAAAAAGAGGTGATTGCAGGGTCAACAGGTTGCTCGTTATAGGTAATAGCCTCTACATGCATATCAGCCTCCAGTGTCCGGTGGAGCTCCGCCCACCATTACCCTCGTCCTCAGGGGGTAAACTAAAAAAAACTAACAACTCAACGTGAAATTATTTAATGACTGTTTATAATGAAGAAAATTTAAAAAAAATGTAATTGCAGTTTTCTTTATTATATTTATTTACCAGTATTTTGTAAATATTTAAATTAAACGTTTTGCTTCTAATATTTTTTATTCATTATATGTTTCACCTATCGTACTGTATCACTTGTAGTCGTGTTTACATGAAAAGAATCCTTTGGAATACTAAGAAAAAAGAAGATATTTATACTACGAATCCTGGTAAGTACTACCTACATAAATATTTATTAAAAATCGAAACAACACAATGTAAAATCAAAACCGAAAGAAGACAATTTCTACTTAACTTTTAGCGCCCCTCTTTTGGCTTTAATTTCACACTGATGTGAAGAATAAATGACACAATTTTTTACAGCCTTTAAACAATTGAAGCTTTCTTCGTATATTACTATGTAAAATAATTTATACCTGTTATTCTTATATGTATGTAAAATTAGTAACTACTTTCTAATTGCAGCAGGTATACCATAATAATTGCGATAAGCATTTATTGAGAAAAAGCGCACGGCCTGTAAGAGCCGAATTCATCTCTATTTCTTCATCTGCCTTCGTCCTTTAGTGTAAGTCAGGGTTCATCGAGGAGATGAGTTGGCTGTCTAATAAGAAAGGACGTAGAAATTTTACTATTAGTGGAAATAATGATAGAACTTCGATTTACAACTACTCGTTCAGGTAAAATATAATTTTGATTTTTCATATCTTTCGTTGATAATTTTCTGTACATTTCGATATAATATTGCCGCAAATTTAATTAATTTTGGGTACATTAATCATTTCTTTTTTCAGTTAACATCCTACGAAAATCTGCTGTAGAGTACTTGGTTACGTGTAGTATGACCCACAAATACTACTGATGGAACTAAGAAGGGTCCAGGCTTTTCATGGGTGTAGAAGCATTTCATAATTTAGGTGCTCAACGTTTTAATCTCAAAATATAAGTGGAAAGTGTTTGAAGGGTTTTGCAAATATAAGTGGAAAGTGTTTTAGTAGATTTGCTTTTAAATACCATTTTGCAAAACCCTTCAAAAAAATCACGTTTAAGTGTATGGTACTTCCTTTAAACATTGTTAATATTCATGAATTACATTTTAGAAGGCTTTTGTGACGTTTGGAAACATTATTTAAACTAATTGTCTAAACATATTTTAAGTAATTGTAATTTAACTATTGTTATCCGATCTCAATAAATATATTTTAATATGTAACATAGACATAAAATTGCAAATGTAATAGATTTTTGAATGCGGCAAAACAACAGATAAGTGGCTTCCATTCCTACCTTCATAAAATATATTGCGTTGCATTTAATTGCACTTAGGAGATGAGAAATAAATCAAGCTATCTTTAAAAATGACGGGTTAGTATCTGTACATCATAAGCGATTAATAAATAATTTTCTATCAATTACAGTCGATTTATTGTAGTGAAGTAATGTAATTTGTTTAAACAAAACATTGAAAACCAACTTAATAAGTTTCGCATACTTTACGAATGTCCCTCGTATTTTAATAATGATTGCAGATTTCCGGCTTTCCAAAGCGACCTCTAGCGGTCAGTAGCAAAAGCTTCCTTATAGACTTCTGTAAAAAGCATTACATATTTCTATAAGAAAGGTAATCCTCTAGGAATCTAACATTCCAGGTTCCACAAGCATTTGCGCCCCCATGAAAAGCATTAGCAGTCATGTGAACCACTTCTGCTTCCATTTTACAAATTCCAGGAAAAATATCAAGGTGTAAAGGATNCACTGATCCCTATTTTTAAATATTTAATCTACGCCCCTGATAGGAATACTGAAGAATGAGGGCTGCAATCTTTATACCTAAAACTGCCTACTTTTTCCACCGCGCATCCACGCCATTTTAAAATTTCCGCCAGCTTCCAGCTTCAGGCCTGTACTTGTATATATATGAACAATTTTCATATTACGTCGATTCGATACCTTAACAATATCTACAACTGGTACAATTATTTTTTGGTGTACGTAAAAGAATATGGTACATGAATTTACAATTAGACGTTCTTCCGGTTTGTCCAATGTAACTTTGCAGAAAAAATATAAATGACATTTTTAATAACAGTGGTTAATATGCAATATTACTGTGAAAATTCATTTTAGATTTTAAGTGGGGAAAAATATTATTTTTGTTGCTGTTACTTTTCTTCATTGACCTGGGGAAGTTTGTAATGGATAGAAAATCGGAAATGAATTTTTACATTAATATTAGAAATTGAAATGCCTGCCGCTGCTTACTTGGAGTTTAATTTGGGATTATTGTTTAGCAAATAGAATTAAATGTATTTATTACATTTCCATGTTTGGAATAGTTCGTTTTCTCCACGATTCTGGTTTTCCTTGAAGTAATTCTACTGGCGGAATTTGTTAGAAATTAATTCAGATAATATTGAAATCAAACTGGTTCATGAATATGTTTATATAAATACTAATGTAAAACACAAGTAACGTCGATTTTTAGTTTTTATGTTATGACAAATACTTATACGTATGTAGATACTAAAAACTAAATGATTTAGTATGTTTTTTGCTATTGTAAACGCTATAGTTATCTATCTTATTATTATATTTTATGAATAAACAAATGAATTACGACTTTAGCGAAAAAGAATTCCACATAGTAATATAAAAGACTGTTTGTATTTGTTTACCACCATAACGCATTGATCTTCGATACCAAAGCGTCTTTGTCGAGGGGACCATTGGTTAATAAACAACAAAAGCTGAAGTCAAGAATCATCCCTGGTTTATCTTTCAGGTAAAAATGTTACCTATAGATAAATGGCTGCTTTCATGCCTTTTCGCTTTTTAATTCAATTGAATGTATTGTGTGGCGACTGTCCATTCACAAACACAAAATAAAATGGGAAGGTACGTTATAAAGTATTCCAAAGCAATAATGGCCCCTTTTAAAATATTTTTTATCTGTCGTTCTGTCGGTAGGCTTTTAGGATTCAGTACAGTTGTTACTAATGTATAAATTGTTATCTCTGAATGGTTATGATTACCGTAGTCAATGATAATTAATTGTGATGGTCCTTAACGTTTATTATCAATGATTTAAGAAGCCATTTGGGTAATTGTCCAGAATTAGGGCTCCAGACCAAAATCGCTCCAAAAATTTTTTCATCGATTTTCGTAATTTTATATAATATAATTAGATATAGATAGAAGGTGGAGGAGACATTTTTTTATGACTGTATGGGAGCGAAACATGGACAGTAGGCGCAGCGAAAAAGAAAAGGTTAGAAGCGTTCGAAATGTGGTGTTATAGGAGAATGATGAAGATACCGTGGATAGAGTAGGTTAGAAATAAAGAGGTATTGGAAAGAATAGAAGAACAGAGGACTCAATGGAAGTCGATAAGATAAGGCGAGATAGGTTAGTAGTATACCTTCTCAGGCACGAAGGTCTAGTCAGAGACATATTAGAGGCAGAAATGGGAGTTAGGAATGGTAGAGGTAGGCCTAGATTAGATTACTGTTCGCAAATATTAAAGGATGTGGGCTGTTCTAGTTTTAGGGAAATGCGAAGATTAGTTCATGATAGGAAAGAGTGGAGGTACGTGTCCAACCAGTCTTAAGATTGACAACCTTATCATGATGAAAAAAAATTGTTTTGAATGATAATTTTTCAAAATTCATATTACAGTTTCAAACTGTAGGTACGGAAAGAGATGGGTGAGGAGATCAGGGGTGAAAGGGGGGGGGGTTAAAAGTTATACAAGCTTTCAGTCTCCTTATCTCACGATTGTCATTGCATAAAATTCTTTTATTAATATTAAAAGGAGAAATAGGTATACATACACCATATACCCTATGATGTATGCTGTAATAAAAAAGAATGTGTGTCCCTCGCCTCAAATATAATCAATGAACCCTCAGAAATGAATAGAAATCGATGAAAAAAGTTTTAGAGCGATTTTGGTCTGGAGTTATTTTGGACAATTATCGCTATTTGTTACATGTAATAAGTTGACGTTGCTATAAAAAAAAGAAATAAAATAAGGGGGCATCCATTAAATACGTGAGCTCAGAATAGGGGGGAGGGGTACAACGAAATCTCACCAAATCTCATTTAAACCGATGGGGGATAATCGAAAATCTCACGTCAACTTCAAAAAATATAAAATATTTTTGAGTATAAATTAACTATAGTATACCTGAACGATTTATTATTTTTCCGACTAATAAAAATTAATTAAGTTTAAAATATTTTTAGCGTCAATCTCACGTAAGGGGAGGAGGGTCCTGGTAAATCTCACTAAATCACACCTAAGGGGGGGAGGAGTCTCCTAGTATAACCCTTGTTCATTAGCGAATTTTACAAACGAATTTAGTAGTTTATTTTCGCCCATATTTTAACACCACCCAAATAGGTACCTACACGAAAATTTCTTTAGGCAATTAAATAAAGTCAAATGGTAAATAATTTTGTGGTTTACTGTGGAATGTGCATAAGTATATATCTATATATGAAACTACACATTAACCTATAATAATAAAAGCATGTAATGATAATAAAGGTAACAAAGCATGTTCTTGGTGTATTCGAGTACAACAATTCCGAAAATATACCAGATGGCTTTGAACAGTGTTCGACACGCCTTACATTAAGAACGAACAACGTGTAGCAGCTACCCCTAATATATGCCCCACGGAGGGTGAAAAAAAGGTGTTATAACCATAGAAAAGTCCTGCTTTTAAGAGGGAGCATGCTGATTTTTTATGGCCTCGCATCGACAGTTGTATCTTGTCTACACTTAAAATACGTACTTAACAAATGCTTTCTGTTTTTACAACCGCATCGACGTAGGTATCTACATGGGTACGTCAATAAAAATGGGAATATTAGAGGCATGAAGTGGCATATTTTACAAGAAAAACTTTTGTAAAGCTAAACGGAAAGAATTACAATACTGCGGTCAAATTCGGAAGGTGCAGTCGATTGTAAAACATAGTTCTTACAAGCAGATAGTTTAATAACTTGTTGTGCACTTCTTGCAAAATAATGTGACC